TGATCCCACACCATGGCTGCACTGAAGTTTACAATGGTAACTCAGACATCCTAGTCACACACGGTATTAGCAACTCCTCTAATTAAAGCTAGCGAGACAAGAGAAAATTGCTGGCTGTAGATCTTACCAGCGTGTCCTTGCTGGTGTAGTGGACCATCCAACCTTCTTTCATTACTGTGCTGCTTTTCCGCTTCGTGTGCTTGACAGACTGCACTACCCTCATTAGTGGGATATTGTTGCTTGTTGATGGACTTGAAAAGTCAAAATATTTTAGGAGAGAAATGTTTTCAGATACCAGATCTTTTCACACATAAAACTTATTTCAGCTATTTCAAAGTGAAAGTCAAAAAATTCGCATCCCATTTTCAACGAAAGGTATTGTCAGAGCACTATGGTTCAAAAAGTGGGTTACTCTGAAGAGTGATAGGAATTTTATATGTACACTTTAAAAATCCCAAGACAGAGTAACAAGCACCTCAGATTTCAGGTTAAGCTATATGGCATTCAGTTTTCAAGGTAAACATCAGGTAGATTACTGTCTTAGTGTACTGAGGCCCCATTGTTCAAAATTGCACATGAAAGCTTATTTGCTTATTTATTACATATTGTAGGCATAATATCAATCATTTATAGATATTATTCAACATGAATTTTAGTCTCTGCATAATTTAATAAAAGTTAGAATCCGCTGTTTAAACGGTCTTTTACGTAACTATTGCTCATGAAATTTTGCTGACCTCTCACATCCCCGCCTCCTCCCTACTCCCTCTCTGTCTCTTTCCATCTCTGGCTCTTCTTCCTGTCTTGCATCGTTCCCTAACTTCCACCCCAACCCCTAGTGCATATATGTAAGCATCCCCCCTCCTCCTGAAAACCTTTTGGCTCTAAAGAAATGTACATATTCAAAATACAGTTGAGTAATAAGACTAATATTTTTCCAGTATTTTTAGAATGTTTATTATGGCATTAAATGGAAAAAAAACGATCATTTTATTGCTCTACTCTCATAAACAATTTCGGTTTGTCAATGAATATGGCATTTCTAAAATGGACACAAACATTTCAGTATGCTTTATAGTATAAATTGGAGACTGGGAAACTTTTTCTGTAAAGGGCCAGGTAATAAATATTTTAGGCTTTGCAGAATATTGAACTCTACCAAACAGGTATGTACATTCCAATAAAACTTGGCCTGGTGGCACACTGTGCCAACTCCTGATATAAAAATTGGGGATCATTTAGCAATCAAAAAGTATAGGTAATTAGGTAACAGATATAAAATTACACATAGTTCTGAAATAAAATCAAGAACAGTGAGATGTAGACAGAATGTGATATTTGTAATAGGGGCCAGCTATACAATAGATGATTTCTGGGAGGTTGATCCTTGATCTTTCTTTCTCCACACAATAAGCTTTAAATTAAAATTGTCAGTAGTAAACTTGTGGATGGCAAATAGGAGTATCCCTCACATGCAAAAGAAAATGGGTCAATAAATGAGGCAATGCTAGGAAAGGGTGCAAAGTATACTTCCCCTGGGAATCCAGACCTCAGACNAATGAGGCAATGCTAGGAAAGGGTGCAAAGTATACTTCCCCTGGGAATCCAGACCTCAGACCTCCTGTCTCCGCAGGCTCTCATTTGCAGTACACAGCTCACTCATAAAGAAGTGAAACACACGTGTGAAGTTTCTTTTACAATAGAGCAAACACCACTTGGGGTTCCACTGATTGAGACAGGGAGCACTGCTCTCACCTGATGGTTCTGTTGGAGTCCTCATGGTCCGGGTCTGGATCCTGCATTTCCCCACCATCATTCTGGCACTCTGCCATTGCCATCTCCGCATCTTGGACTATTGCCTCTTCCATGTCATCCATGAGCCCACTGTTCCTTTCACTGTCATTGTCATCACTCCCTTCTTCCATGAC